CCGCCGAAACCAACAATCAGGAGTTCCCACTAGGAGTGTTCCAGAATGGCTCTATCACATCAGAAATAAAATTTTTTGGTAGAATCAGGTCTCCTAGCTTTCCGGATGTGCAGGAGGCATTTTTGAGAAAATGCAAAATGAGAATCATGGAGGGATTCGAACCTCTCACCTCGCATACTTGAGCGCGGCACACTACCCACTAGGCCACCGATGCACTTCGTGTGACGACTCACGTCTCATTTGTGTACCCAATTGTGCTCCGTACAACAACCTCCTGCATATCTCTGCTCAGAGAATCGTTTAGCAGATATGGAAAGCAGATTTGAAATCAGCGTCCGAAGACGCATCAGTGTGTATGCATCTTGTCTTAAATGGCCACTTCGACCAACCCCTTTCCTTGTTATTTAGTAGTTGCGCCATTTAGTAGAAATAGATCGCTGCTCACCTCAGCTGCTTTTTCAGCTGCGATTCGTTTCTTTTCCTTCTTTTCTTCTTCCTGCTCTTTCAGGACACGCTTGTAGTCTCGAGGGAATACCTGAAGACAAGTGTTTCCAGTGTTTGGCTGCTCTGGAAGTAATTAAAGGATAGCAGTGCATCATCGTTGGGAGAATCTCAGAAGAAAGCCGCACTTGTCCGCTAGGGTAGGGGGGGGGTCGTATCTGGACATCATAGTATGTTTAAAGAGGCACAGCCAGGTTTTCCCCCCGATATTTCCCGTATTCTGCACTTCATACCCCCCCCCCCTTGTCCCCCACAGCCCTGCTTGACGCTAGTTTTTTTATTATCAAAAACTGCAAGTATTTTTGGAAAATCGGGAAAAGTGGTCGGAAGCTGGGAATACTAAGGATAGACAGGATGGGGAAGGGGACGTAAAAAATGGGAAATTTTGGAGAGAGGGAGAGGATCGTACTAAGACCACCATTTTACATATCACGATGCTGTATCCTGCCTAAGATGCATTGACGCTGTCATAGCTGGGGGGGGAGGGGAGAAGCAGGAGAATGAATGATATTGTGGACAGCTCTCGACAGCCTACAATATCATTCATTCCTCTGGTAAGCATCACACACAGGAGCTTTGAAAGTAGTGGGCACGATCTCTGGGGCGGGCGGTTGTCCGCAATGTCATTGGTGGAAGGAAAGACTGGAATACACCCAGATGCCCCCCCTCGC